GTATGCATGTTTGTCTTGTAACGGTTACTTTTGTCCACATGCATATTTTGAATTTATAGTTCTCATTATACTAGTCATTGATATAGACATTCGAAATACACAGTTATAGGAGATAGATAAAAAAAAACTATACCGTTCATCTATATGCAGGCAGCTACTGGGAAAGAAATATAATTGGATATAATGATTGACATTTACTACCTTTATTGTCTATTTAGTAGCATATTATGTCTGAGTGCACTGCAGCATTAAAGTCATATTCAAAGTGCGCATTGCATTATTAACAAAGTAGATTTAAAATTTAAAATTACAACTGCATGTAAATCGGAAATGTCAAACTAAACGTAAATTCTTATATGATCCGATAAGTGCTTGATCGATATATAAAAGTAACAAAATGAAAATCTCATTTTAGTCATTTACTTATTTGTCTACCGTACCTAAGATCTTCTCCAGGGCAGTAACGACAAATCATATAATTGTAATTACAGCATAATTTTCCTCATGGGTGTGAAAAATTGCAGAAATATTCATAAACACCGTCACAGAGAAAGCTATAGCTTTCAACTTTATTCCGATGTCATATAGCAAAGGCAAGCCTCTTGGAATTTGTCGCTTTCCAACCACGGTATTGGCCATACGAGAGTTAAAGGCACCTGCTGGCGTATGTAGAAGCGCCTGCTGTTTCACTGTGTTGTGTTATCATTACTGCTGGCTTTGGCAATTGAAAATAGCTTAAATAACTTACTGTATAAAACGTCTTTCTGTGTGTGAAAGTACAGTGGCAATAGAGTTGCCGTTCGTGTGTCTCGTATCTAAAGTTTTAAATGAAAATCGACTGGGAAAACTCACTTTAATGGCTATTTAGCGTAAGGCCGATTCTCAAATTTGCTACTGACTCTTAATATGTAACCTTAAATCGGAGAATGGGACATATTCTGTTTAATTTAAACGAATGCATTTCTATTCCTCCTTGACAAAAATCATTTATTTTATGTCTTCATTGCCTTATGATTATTTTAAATGCCATTCAACCGCGGTGTTAAAGCAATAACGGTCAACAGTTTTGCCCGTTCAATATAAAGTTTTATAAACATGATGTACAAATTTACTTACTTGTGAAAAATCTGCCTCTTTATTGATCGACTTGTCTTCTTTTCAAGCAATAACACTTTAGGAGAGACCTTGTGCTGCCGGCTTGTCGATCCATAAATTTGCCGAGCTTTAAGGCTGCTTGAAATTGCCTGAATTAATTAAAGCAACTCATTATTATCCTTTGTGCCCAACGGATAGTAAGCTGATGAAAATTCAAACTAATATTAATTCCCTATACATACATATATTATTTTGAACATTTATCACAATAAAACCCACGCATGGCCAGTGATAATTGTACATGAAGGCGACATGCAATTGGTTCGGAGGATTATTGATACGAAATTTACGTTACATATGATGTGGGGAAATTTTCAAGACAGCTGATATGGTATAATTATATGTAGATTTAACAGACAAGCAAAATCACACACCGTGAAATCAGTAAAGCGCTTTCAAATATCATCTTAAACAAATATTTTGAGTTCATATGGCGGTTAGAATTAATTTTACGGTTCCTGCATATATCTTGCAATATTTCATTTTCCTGGCACAATGTTAAAGCCGCCGTACAGACGAGCAAGTTTTCCTTGGCAAGTTTACTTTCTCGTGTGAACGATCAATACGTTTTCCATCACAAGTATGCCTTGAAAAAAATTTTGTTGCTCGTGTGCACGGAATGTTGTTAACATTTATCTCACGTCAAGGTCGCCATGTCCACTTGTCAAGTTTTTACTTGTCGGGGGCTATATCCACGACTAACAAATTGCCCTTGTCCAAAAGCTGGCATGAGTTTCTTTGGAACAATGCTCCTGCACAAGAAAAAATTGTCATTTTTTTCCGACGTACCTACGAGCAAATTTTTTTTTATTTAAACATATTTATCCACGGTAACCTTTCAGACATCTTACGGTTATCTGTGCTAGAGTTGATCGGTTTCTTGGGCCCCGTGACAAATGTGACAGTCGTGCAAATTTGCAAGTACATTACGGTTAAGAATTCAGTTGTGAACGGAGCAGCCATGCATGTGACTGACGCGAAACCAGAGCTCACATCAGTGACTCGTGCACTGCACTGGCTTTCACATGCGGCGCATGACACAGCATTAATATCACATCAAACATCCCTTAAAATCCCTCAAAATCCATTAAAATAAACAAATTGGAAAAATTTCTAAATATCCCCCACAAATACCTAAAAGGGATTTTCGAATAAAAAATGTACATTTTCTTGGAGTGATATTAGTACATCCTTTGGCATGAAATCGGACGAATTCCAACACACGGAGAACCGTACGATTTCCTCTGTGAGCAAATGCTCCAAGTTAACCTCGTAGTTTGATCTAGTTTGGCGTAAACTATATAGCCTAATTCTCAATTGTAATTGCATGAATAATCGGTTGTGAATTTTCCGAAACCTTGATCATATACCGGGGGCCAGTTGTTCAAATCTGTAGATTAAGCCTGCATGGTTTCCATATGATATAATGATCGTATAAATAGATTCACGACCTTTCTCAACGGCCAGTTTATAATAGTTTATACATGTAAACCACATATAAATCATATAAGTATTCTCTAGTTATAATCACACCGCGTATTTTCAGTTCTAAAATGTTGTATTTCGGCAATTCGTCTGATGAAAAAGATCGTGAGTCCGATCTTTACGACAGTATGGAAACCAGCCTGTTTAGCTCTCACCCTGGGTTAAAATGTAACCCATGCACTGTTTTGGTTTAAGTGTCTCTGCTGCATGCATGTCAGATTATTTAAAAACTTTAGAAAATAAAACTTCTGTTGATCGAAACAAGATTTCTATAGTCTAATCGACTTTTGAAGAACCGACCCCAGGATAGCAAGACTCTGAAGGTTAACTAATTTGGACGAAGTTGTATCAATGATTGGTACCTTTGTCACCTTTCGGGACACGTATTTGTCGAAATCCGTTATAAAGTTTTTAGTATTGAGTGCTTTTTAGAGCGAGTATATATATATATATATATATATATATATATATATATATATATATATATATATATATATATATATATATATATATATATATATATATATATACCACATCTTGTGGTACGAAACTAATAGTAATAAAGTGCCACATCTTGAGTGCCATGTTGAGTGTCATGCACATCTTGTGGTACGAAACTAATAGTAATAAAGATACCTTGTGGAATTTGTTGAGTCGTTGCACTTATTTTATATATATATATATATATATATATATATGAGATTTGCATTTATTTATACCATTTCGATACTATATATATCCATAGTATGGAAATATATACAATTATTATGCATAATCAAAAATCCATTCTATTTCCAATAAAGGTCCTGACAATCTTTCCATTCTATGGTATTTCAAAAAATTTTCCAATGCTATCTATTTTTCTATCTAGTCTATATTCTAATACTATCTATATATCTTAATAATGACAACATGAACTCCTCTACAAAAGACTTCTCGAGCTCTTCCTTTGGCTTCTCGGCAAGCATATCTCACCTTGTTCACACAGTATTCGACGTAGACTTTCTCCAAGTGAGCCTGCCTCTCAAAAAGGTCTTTATTTAGGAGTTGTATAAAGAGAGAAGAGGATTTTATTGGAGTTATAAAAGAGCACGCCAACATGCGGGCGAGACTGAAATTTTAAGCTTCTTCGTCCGATCTCGTACGCTATCTTATATATTAATATGTAAACTTCTACTACTACCTGAAAAATACAAAAATAAGGCTGTATTATATTTTTGAAGTAGTTGCAAAATTCTCAGTTTGTGTTCATCGCTACCAACACTGATACACAACTGCCTACAATTAGATGCCCCACCTCTTCACCCTGGGGACACATGTATATGACATTTACAGAAAAAGTAAAGTTTTGCTGCCCAAAATGGCCCCACGAATTGATGTTTGGACGAACTTACCATGAAACCAAGGAAACACTGTCTGCAATCAAATGTGTTCTGTTTCTGATAGTACTTGCGTGGGTGCGGTAAATTTTCTCCTATTTTCCTAAAACATCTAATTCTCTAACACATGCAAGATTTTGTTCTTTGCACGAGCATAACAGCGATAAACCCGTACGTATACGTTATTCTAGGTGCCTCTTCAAAACAAACAATTTCCATCCGCACAGCCTGCAGGCCTATAAAGTTCAGGATATTTTGCAATTTAAATCGAAAAATTTAGACAATCAGCCTCAGTTCCTCTCTTTGTAACGAACAATGACAATTACCGTTCGTCATTATACTTTAATTACTTTGACAACTCATGCAGATAAATTTTTCAGAATACCTATATACCTTCCCACTCATTTAAAGCCTATAGGGGCTGTTTATATATGGAAGCCGGGCTGGCCCGCGGGATGAGTTTGTGTTGTGTTTATTGACGTGTTTATATGAGAAAATTTCATCCTGCTGGCCGGGACATTTTGTTGTTTTAACATTGTTTTGACAGTTGTTACAAAATAGCACCTAGCATTTTTGAGCTTTCATCTCAGCAAACGGGCCAGCCCGGTCAGTGAGTCAGTATGGAGAAATTTTTATCCCGAGATCTCGCCTTTTTCGAAAAAAGAATTTTTGCTATTGAAATAACCTACACGGCGTGGCGAGATCTCGCCTGATCTCGCCAACCGGGCTATACGCGGGCCAACATGGCATCCTTACTCAGTCCCTCGGCTCAAACGTCGCGCTGGTGCTTAGGCCGAACTTTTCGTGTACAGAATTCAATGCAAACATTTTCTCCAGTAAAGTTGAGGGGGCGTTGACATTTCTTGAGTCATCAAAAACATCAACCAGAGTGTTGAGGCTACAAGAAAAGAATACCTGACTGTAAATGTAATCTATAAATTGTCACAGAACATTTATAGGTAAGAAAGCTCGAGTTTTTCTCACCTTTCTATTACTATTCATTCAAATATATATGACAAATGGGCAATTTACAAAATTTAAAAGTTTTTTATTGGTTGTGTCAAGGTGGGATTGGAATTGGCATGAAGAACTTTCTTGTGTATTCTTTTATTTCACTATTGTAATAGTTAGCCAAGTTTAGTAGTCAATTAAGTTAGTCAGGGTCGTGACGGATGATTTTATTACTTGTCAAAGAGAACTCTACGGTTGTGAAAGGTTGAAAATATTCTGGGGTTTTTCCATAAAGTACTGTCATTTCATATTATTTTCAATTAATTTTTAGCCTTCAATAATAGTATTATAAAAAAGTAAGCTACTGCATGTGTATTAACATGTGAATACTCTCTGTAATACAAACCTTTTCTGGTTTGGGGGGTTATACCGAAAAATAATATATCAGGCGTGAAAGGGAGTTGTCCAAAATTGCAAAGATCTAAATGCAAAATCCCCATATATACCCAGCCATATCAATTATGAGGTCGAGAGCGTGCATGAATTGAAACATGCATAATTTCTGTCCAAATTATTTTAAGTCTTACAAAAGTCCAGTTCAATTTTGGGTCGATCCCGCTGCACGCCACAAGTTGAATGCTTAATCATCCGCTGAGTTAGAGAAACACTGTATTCAAGCAACACACATGCAGGTTGGGATAGTTTGTTGAGTATGGTTGCATTGATTAGTTCTGACGGTTCTGACAGTCATACTGTTAAAATTGCATTTTTACCCTGTGCTAACCTATCTATATGTACGTGTCTGTCGACTTATTGCAAATCCACTATCAATTTTAAAGTGCATTTACAGGGCAGGCTTAGTTCCCTGGCCTGAGCCTTGCCCTGGCCTACCTTTTGGTAGTTCAAACAAACTTTGACTTTTGGCCAGACTAAATCCAGCGAATCTGGGCAACTGCTATTGTTAGAGCTGGGCCTGCCTTGGCCCAGACAATCTTACTTTACTCGACTTAAAGGATTAGTGTCACGCCAGGAATTCGCGGGCTCAAACTCCTCTTGGCGGCCATTTTTCGGGACGAATAGACTAGATGATCCGGAAAGTGTTTACAATCCGTCATATATTTAAAGCATCCTTTTATAATCCTTGCTCTTTTTGTCTGATTCTTATCAGAAATGTACCAAACAAGGTATTCTTATCGCTATTTGTTGTATTTGAGTAAAATGTAAACAATAACAAAAGCCCGCAATGCATGACCCTGACACTAATCCTTTAACCTTTAAATAACCATATAGCAGATATGACGGTTACGCAATCTGGACCTAGACCCTTCATTCGGCAGCTGGCAGGCTTTGGGAGGTTTGGCCAATCTTAGGGTAGCATTTGGTAAGTAGACATCACATGCGAAATGAAAGTAACGTGAGGCACCTTGCTTCGCATGTAGGCGTATATTACTTCCCAAATCCTAGTCCAAAATTGACCAAACCTGCCAAAGCAGGCCGAGTAAAGGTTCTAGATCTAGGTTGGCGGTTAATTAGATATTTATTTTACTCTGTCTAACGCGAAACAATTTTAATCGTCCGAACCATATAAGTGCCCATTTCTAGCTAGAGGTTCTAGCAGTGGCGGCGCCAGGGGGGGGGGGCAAGGGGGGGCAAATGCCCCCCCAAAATTATTTTTTGCCCCCCCTCAAAAAAAACTATTAATCACTAAGAGCGACTAAAGGCTACACAAGCGTTCTGTCGTTATCGGAAAATGTATGGCTTATAAGTTGTCATTACTCATTAGTGAATGCGCGTATACATGAAACTGTTTTTTACAGTTTCAATATTAGTTTGTAAATCTCTGAATGGTAAAACTTGCCAATACTCCAATAATACGTTTCAAAAAAAGACAAAAAAGCTTTAGTTTTGAAGAGTTAAATTCTCAAACGTGTAAGGCAATAATAAGATGAAAGTATCACGAAATTATTTGAATAAACCACATCGCATATATGGGGGGCGAATGTCCTAAAGAGGGGCGATATACCTATGGTATTCGCCCCACCCCCTGGGAGGCGATATTCCTAGGATATGCGCCCCCGGGGGCGATATTCCTAGGAATATCGCCACGTTTTGAGGGGGGGGGGGAATTTCCTAGGGGCGACCTTTCTAAAAATTCTATCTTGCCCCCCCAAAATTTGAGTTTGCCCCTCAAATGCCCCCCCAAATTTGGAAGCCTGGCGCCGCCACTGGGTTCTAGCCAGAAATGGGCACATATAAGGTTAAATATATTTCAATCTAACATGAAGTTATCACAAAATGGTCTTTATTCCAATAACTGGGATCTTCGTTTTGCAAATTCAAACGATCTAAGCTCTCTTGTCCTCATTGTGGTGATATTTTGCATTTTTCTCTCTGGACGACATGGCTGTAGTTCATGCCATTGTGCAATAGGTTTGGCCGCTGTTAGTGTTTCAAGCCAATGTGATTCTTCACTACCTCCCACTTCTTTCCCTAGTAAGACCTTGCCAAGTGCAACATCTCCTCCCATGGCGGCTTTTTGATACACAATCACTTGCAACTTGACAGTACTGATAATAAAGTCTTGTAAATCAAACAGTAATGTTTCATTGTAGAGTGGATTTTGTGTGCCAATTTTGAATCCAGTGACTTTGCGATGACGTGAATTCCGATGAAGAACAGTGACCTCTACGTAGACACCTGTGGTGCAGAACACAGAAATTAAGTGGTTGTTGGCATAGACTCTAGCACAATTGCTCGTAGAGTCTATGCAACGTCGGCGAAAAGCTACCCTGGATCAGGTTGTAGCGAAAAGCTTCCAACGTGCACTCATATGCATTCAAGCATACATTTCAAATATCGTACTGTACTTTAATTTATGCAAAAGCGCAAGCAGATGGACGTGTGCGGCTCAGCCTTTCGCTGTTGTATCGCCGACTCTACGAAGAATCGAGCTATGTTTACTCTTGATTTTAGCTTGCTTCTCAAATAATCCTAGAAATGCTTTTTGGAAATTTGTTTCAGGAAAACATGTGATTGATTTGTTTTCAGACATGTTTCTGCTTGCCACTCTGGTTTTAAGTAAATTAATTCAAACCTCGGGCAAAATTCCAGAAAACACTCTTGAGTCCCAGACGAAGATTGAACCGTTGGATCACTTGGATGTTAGCCCAAGGCCCAACCATTTGCGCTCAAGAATACAGTTCATACGTTCAACTAACCTTTACTTGGGATGGGTATATTTAGGACTACTATATGTGGTATTAGAGAGATTAAGATACTACGGTTCTGATGCACGGGTATTGATAGTGTCATGTTGTTTAAACTATACGGTCTACTGTGAAAGAACGTCTGTATAATCATATCTGCCGTCTACATGTGTAGGCAAGCCGGTATATCAAGCACGGTGGTTGGTCGATCTGCAACAGTTCTACATGGTTTTTTAGCAGTATATACGTGTTTTTGTTGTTTCTTTCTATTTGTTGTTGGATTAATAATGGAGAACTTTAGAAAGCGACGTTTTGATTCGCGAATGGACGGTCGTTCTTGTTTGAAATCAAGAACTTGGAACCACATTGACTGGTGTTCTTGATTTCAAGCAAGAACTCCGCCGGCAGTTTTTTCTATAAATCAAGACTATCTTCTTTTACAGTTAAAATGCACGCTCGAAGCCCGTGTTGTCAGAAACGTCACTTGCTTAAGCTCTCTTAGATGTTTCAATTTCCTCACCATGGCTATTCTGTATTGTTTTTAGATCCTTGGCTTTCAGCACAAAAACACCGAGTCTGTTAGTTGCTGGAAGGTAGGTTAGTGAGAACAATATGCTGCTCGAATTATTTGCTGGATCTTTACTTGACGAATCCTGTCGGAAAAACATAAAACAGCTTGCAACATAAATTGAACAGCCACATCACCAAATCCGTTGTGGCGTTGTGCATGCACCTACCAAACAGCTCTAGACAGATTAATTGAATTAATTTAGCAGAAAGTTCTGTTATGACAGAGTTCTTGAAATAGTAAATAGAGGTGCGTTTATAGGCTGCGTTTTGTTGTTCACAATTCGTATTCTGGCGTATAAAAGTGTTACTGTATACGAGAAATCGTAGCGTTCAAACGTGGCCTAACTTATTTTTATTTTGTTTTCTTTGATGAAGCTGCTATGGAATCGAAATGACGTCATATTGACGCAATATTACAAGTATTGTGATAGTGAAAACCAGTTCAATATCTCATTGCCGGAAACCGTTGATATGCTGGCCATCAGCCATTGGAAAACACGGTTTGAAAAGAAAACGGATTGCATGTAAATGTTTGCCGTTCGGATAAAACGTTTTAAAGGATGTGTATCCATGGATGAAGGCGGCTGTTTCAATTGTAAGGACCAACTCTTTGAACGGTCTAAGAAACCGTTTAAACGGAATGTTCTAACCGTTTTAGTAAATGGATCAAGTAAACGGATCAAGTAAACGGTATTAAAAATGAAAGTGTCTCGTCATGTCAATTCATATTTTAATCGTGCGAATGAACAGACCCCACTCTCTCTTTGAAGTGGCCTTAAACGCCTGTGCACCTTATCATAAAGCATTTATTGTTCGACAATTTGATGGGCAACGAGTGTTACAAATATTACTAATAGATTTTTCTGATGTTGTCTCTGAGTGTGTCCACATCGAGCAAGCTGAAAAGTTTGCTTGACCGCGTTGGGAATCGATTAAAACGGTTAGAGCATTCCTTGGGAATCGGTTAAGACGGTTAGAGCATTCCGTTTAAACGGTTTCGTTTACCGTTTAAGCAGTTGGTCCTTACCATTGACCTTTGTTTTGCTAAGTCACGCCATTACAACAACATTACTAGGATTATTACAAAAATATTACAAGTATAAATACAATTACAAATACAACTTTATACCTTCGTTTGATGAAGTAAAATAATCTCTTTGGAGAAAAGCATGGCAGTTTGTGAAATATCAAACCCTTCAATATCCAATTGACTTAGCGAATAAATTACTTCTCCCAAACTTGTGAGATGGAAATATGCATCAACATACCATACCACTAGATGTATTTTTTTCGTCCATAGTTCCCCAAAATCAATTTTGTACTCAAACACCTCTTCAAAAATTGGAGAAAACGTATTTTCTTGCACAGCTGTGGCAGATGGTTTCTCGGAAATGTCTCTAGGTATTAAAGCACATTCTACTAAGACGTTTGGTGCTTCTCCGTCATGGTCTGGAATACCTTCAGCTTTCATTATTCGCACCAAAAGTTTTGATCTAAAATAGAGTGCAATAGGTTCTAAATTCTATAATTGGCATAAGACAAAATCATTCTAAAACTGGAAATTCCGATCCAGTTGAGTCATAGAAAAACAAGTTTAAAGTGTATCTTCATGGAATTCTATCAAGAAGTTTGCCAGTTCATTTGTCGTAATGAAGGAGATCCCGTATGTTGTGTCCTATCTCAACTAGCGACGTATTCTTGGCATAAATGCTTAAATTATTAAATACATGTGAATGGTTATCTGCAGCTTAGCTGATGCCATCGGTTCCTGGAGTGAGGATATGTGCTGCAGGGACAGGATATGTTGCTAGGGGGGGGGGCAGAAGTGCCCTTTTAGTTGTAAAATACTACGTGATAAATCATATTCCAGTGATGCTTTTTCTGGGAAAATCATGAGATTCAGATAATTTATAGGCCCAGAGAAAGTAAATTAACAAAAATAATTGTGAAATTGGTAAAGAATGAGTTTAATTTACAAAAATTTTAGAAAATTTTTGGAATTCAGAAAAAATTTTTAACTTAACGGAAAATTTTGGTATGTCCGGAAAAAATTTTTGACCCCTAAAATGGTACACTGACCGAAAATTTTTTGGTGACGGGGGGGGGTGTTCGCCCAAAAAAATTTCCATGAAAAAAAATTTTTCCGGTAGATTTTGAACTTTTGTTCTATAGAGGTGCCCTTGGTGTGCGTCTGCCCCCCTTTGCCTTATTATCGTTCCGGCGTCCCTGATGTGCTGTATGCATGGTGGTAAACTGTACCTCTTGGCTTCATATTTTAATGAGAAGCATAAATTCCCCAGAGGTCCATTATCTTTCACGCTCTTAGTTCTTTCTCGATCACTTGCTTTATCCTCCTGTTCTGACAACCTTTATTTCATGTGAAACATTTAAGATATTTTTAGTCAAAACTATTTAAAAATAACATTGACCACTTTAAGTGTATATGCATGGATGTACAGAAACACCAATTGACATGTCAGATTATAGAGCCCCTTTTTACAAATTCGCCAGTTGGGGTCAAAGGGACTTATGCACCTATACTAGGCTGCATGGGACTGCAGAGCGATTGTAAACCTTCCTGGGTAGTATGGGGGCATGTCCTTGGAAAGCTTTACAAAATTACATGCGCGGAAAGTGGATTTCCTGCAATTTTCACAGTCATTTTGTTTAAAATGATCTTGTGATGTTAGTCTTCAAACGCATGCATGTCTATACTTTAAATGGAATTAGTGAGAGATTCATAATCACATCATGCACGCGTCACTGAAAAAAGAACATATTTACAAATCACTACATAACAAGGGTATCAAGTCAATCGTCTCACTGCTCTGAAAAATGAATATGAGTGCCGCTTGTCAATCTATAGCTATAGTGCTATACTTTAGCATTTCTACTTTAATGGTATCCAGCATGTCACTATTTATGATGGCGTAACCTTACACTGCTGTAGATCTTAGAAGTTTAAAAACGCATTCAGAATTATGTACAAGGACACAAAATGTATTTGGTTCCAAAAGCCAGTGTGTGTGTGTGTGGGGGGGGGGTCCATTCCCAGAAAATGTTCGTATCTTTTAGTCTCTGGTGCTTGATTTCCTGCACGTTTAAACCCAACTGTTTTATATATTTAAGCTATACAGACTGAACTTTCAGTACAAAAACCGTTTGCTTAAAAGAAATAGAAAAATACTCATCTAGGTTCAGTCTTCTCTTTGTTGCTTATTAGACTAAAGGGACTTTCACTGGAGCGGCCAAAATTGTTTTTCTGGGGAGTGGGGCAACATGGGGACCGCGGGTTCTTGATCCCTTCAGCTTATATGTTAAAAAGGTCCTGTATCATGGTCAGGACATGCCGTTGCCTGTGGGATGGGAAATACTGCTTCGATATAGGCGTGGGCAAAAGAAGCTTAAAGAAAGTTCGCTTTAAACATAAATGAACGTTAGTTCCTGAAGACTGCGCTCTCATCTTCATAGGAAAATATAGCAACCTTCCATCCACGTGCTGTGAATGTATTATTTGAACGTCTTATGTATACATTGGCACCACATTATTTATAGATGAGCTTGCGGTTAGAGCTGCATGACAACTGGACGTTGTAGCTCAGTTGGTTGGAGCCATGCACCGGAATCACATGTCCTCATGATCGATTTCTGCCAGGGGGCTATAGTTGCATTTTAAGTCTAATAAATGTAATAAAATTTCCACTCGAAATTTCCGTCTACAAAACCCTTGAAGAATTCTATATATTTATTCTTAATACGTTTAATAAACCACGGAATAAACTAAACTTTGCAATTTTCTGTACGAAGATAAAACTTGATTAATCACGAGTAATTTTACCTGCTTTCTGCGAGCTCGCCAGCGTCCCATTCAACAGACTCCATAAATGCCTTTCTTTTCATTTCCGGACGTAATTTTCCTTCGCGAAAAGCAGCTCGTATTTTCTCCCAGAGATACTGTGGACTTTTTGGCTCTGTTATACTGATCTAAAGATACTTAAAATACTCATTAAAAATTCATAAACCTTGTGGCAAATCATGTCAGCCATAATATGTCACGTGGAGTGACTTTATATCTGATAAAACTCATCTTCATTAGTATTCTTTATATAATTGTTCATCCTAATTGTATGATTATATAATTGTTCATCCTAATTAGTATTCTTTTGTAGTCGTATTATAAGCTATTCAAAACATTCGAACTCGCGTTTTATCATATCTAAAACGCTCGGCTGCGCCTCGTGTTTTAAATACGATAAAACACTCCTTCTCGTGTTTTAAATACTACATAAACCCATCAATACATAATTAATATAATGTTTAAGGAAAGAGGCACTTGTTAGTTGTGGTTCTAACTGAAGACCTGTGTTTAACCATGATAATCACCTTAATTAGAAATTCATTGCATAATAATGGTCTTTATTCATGAATAATTAAATTACACGTTAGCCAAAGCCAGAGGCTTATATGGCTATACAGTGTGTATAAAAAAACTGAACCTTTTCAAATTCAAATTAGCTATAACGTATTGTAGTAATTTGACAGCTCTAATTGCTTTAAATTAATGGTTGGATAAGAACACTAGGTCTTGTATTCATGGGACAAAACTCGAAGAAATAAAAATTAGAAAATTTAAAAGAAATACAGTATTCCTTGTGTTCTTACCCAACCATTAATTCAAGGCAATTAGAGCTGTCAAATTACTACAATACGTTATAGCTAATTTGAATTTGAAAGGGTTCAGTTTTTTTATACACCCTGTATATATAGATGGACAGCCAAATTTACTGATTACTGATTACATGCAGTTATAGTAATAATTAGAAGAGAAGTGAACAATTATTAAATACAAAACACTGGGTACAAAATATCAAAGTGCAAAATAACAATAAAACAACAAAGAATATATCAGTTGTTGGTTACTATAGTTAATAAGCTTGAGACAAGTAATAATCCTTCAAAATACGCTTATAATTAAAATATTTTAGCGAATTAGGAAGAGTATACGGAATTGAGTTCCAAATTTTTGGTCCTTGGGATCTGATTGAAAATGATAATTTATTAAATGTGAAATGAAGATTATGTTTTTGTCTAGTATTGTGATGATGCATTTCACTGTTTACAGTAAAAAGTGAAGCAATAGGTTGTGGCAGGAGGTTATTATTATGTTGAAAGATGAAGCAACTTACTTGATAACTAAATATTTCAAATATATTTAATATTTTCATTTGATTAAATAAAGGACGAGAATGCGCTAGAGGTGATGAATGAGAGATAATACGAACAGTCCGTTTTTGATAAAGAAATAAGCGGTTTAGATGAGTTTTATAAGTTGATGCCCATACAATAGTACAATAGTACAATATTGTAAATAGGGCAAGATGAGAGAGTTGTATAGCAAGCGAAGGGTCGATATCTCAAGCTACTGTCTAGCTTTATAAAATATTCCTATTGTTTTCGATACTTTAGAGTTGATGGCATTAATATGTGCGGTCCATGACAAATTCTGCATGATGAAGAGTTATTCCGAGAAATTTTGTTTGTTGAACTCTTTCGACGTCATATCCATGAATAGTAACATTGAGATTATCTAATTCAAGTTTCCTGCGACTTGGATGGAAAACCATGTATTTTGTCTTATCAGGGTGTATGGTTAATTTATTCGCGTTACACCATTTATAGACATTATTAAGCTCAATATTTATAGTGGAAAACATTGACGGAATATCTTTCCCGCTGAGGAATATGTTGGTATCATCAGCAAAGAGTATGAAGGATAAGAGAGATGAAGAGTGTGATATATCATTAACATATATAAGAAATAGGAGAGGTCCAAGAATAGAGCCTTGAGGTACACCACAGTTAATAGGTTTATATGTGAAGCAGACTTTTTCAATTTCGACACATTATGATCTATTTTCAAGGTAACTTTTAATCCAGGAGTGAGCGATTCCACGAAAACCATAAAAATGTAACTTATCCAGTAAAATGGAATGATCCACAGTATCAAATGCTTTTTTAAAGTCAATAAAAGTTCCAATTGTATAACCTCTAATGTTGAAAGCTAGAGAAATGTTGTCAACCAGATCAATTATGGCCATAGAAGTAGAATGATTTTTCCGAAATCCATATTGGTGATCAAATAATATGTTATTCTTATTAATAAAATTTAAAAACCTATTGTAAAGTAACTTTCCAAGAATTTTAGAAAAACATGGTAGAATTCAACCTCGTTCCCAGGCTCTTACCTTCGCACGCCCCAAGCTGCGGAAAGACCCTGGTGCCGGCTGGTCACGTGGCTCCCAGATTTTGGGTGCTAAAATAAATTGCTATTCAGGGAGGGGTGGTAGAAATGATTTGTACGTATTGAAATTGTTTCTGAATTTGTAAAATAGTAAAATTCTAACTGTACGAGACAATAATAAAAGATTTTTTTTAAAACAACAGATTAATCATGTGTTGCAGCCGAAAGAGTATCATATTACTCTCAAGGATTACAAATATCTCATATTTCACTGTCACTATATCGGCTTAGCAAAAGCACGCCAAAGAAATTTAACAAAAAGATCTCCTGGATCAACTGAAAATAGTTCTCGTTGTCGATTATATAATGGTGTACAAGATCAGATACATTGTAAGAATCTCTTCAACAAAACAAATTAAAGAATTTTGAATAACACGGAGTTGATTCATGGCGAGAGACTGCCACATGTTGATGATTTTCCTTATTTGATCTGCCGATCGAGTGCCGTCCTTGTGAACGACGTTCAAGAATGTAATTTCCGAAACACAGAAATCATTAGTAAAAGATTCACGATCCAAGCGATGCCCTGAAGTTTTTCTATCCGTTGCCAGATCTTCGGCAAATGTTGCTGCAGTTGAAAGTCGAAGGCGCAGTTTGGCTTTTACACTGACTTTGTCAATGTGTCCTCCTCGAGTGATGAAACTAGATCTGCTACACCTTTACCCATGTCCCAGACTGCAGAGTTGGGCACAGCCGCACCCGATATTATATTTCTTGAAATTTTCTGCGCACCTGAGTTGCACAATATATATGTTGCGCAATATATATATTGTTCAATGGCAATTGCTATAGATATTATACTTCAAAATAAGGTTTCCGTTTTTATATCAATTTTCAAAATACGACACGTTAGTGTTTAGGCTAGGTTAGGGTTAGTATTAGGATTAGGGTTTAGTTTTGCGTTAGGATTGTTTTTTTCCACGTTATAAAAGCGGAAACCTTATTTTGAAGTATACCTCTGGCGATCACCAAATTATTTTATTATCCAGGCATTGTCATGCAATTGAAGTTAAACATGATAGATTATTAGAAATATCCATTCTGCTACAGCCAGACAGCAAGTTTCCTTGATTCAAATTGATCTGAAATGCCATTTCCTGGACTTTGGGGGAAGATTTGACAGAATTCTAATGGTCAGAAAACAGCGTTTTAGTATGTATGAACTTCCTAGAGCAGCATCCAATGATTTACTTTTATCTGACATATTGCAAATAAGAAAATTACTACTCTTCGCTAGTTCAGGCAATAAACATGACTCAGAGACAAAAGAAAAGGCTAGTGGAAAAATATAACACACGACGTTTACATATTTTACGTGACCACGTGCGTTGTGCGCCCGCACCTCGCTACAACTGTCCGCACTTGCACTTTTACTTCATGTTATTTTGCGCACCTGCAAGTCATTTTACGCACCCGCACCTATTTTACCCAAGCTTTCCGCACCCGAGATCTCGGCGAAAAGTGCCCAACTCTGCAGTCTGGCCCATGTCAACAGAAGTAAGTCAATTGTTTATGAATATCATCTACCAATATACTTTACCGCAATTAATAATATAGTCATCCGTATACGTATGTTAGTAATCCCCATTTAAACCCAAAATGTACAATCCAATTGTGATTTCTCGTTCTCCATGGAATATTTTTTGCAAATATTTATAGAATTGGCAGACGCGCGACTTCAGGCCACTTGATTTCAGTCGAGATATTTGATCTTGTATCAGTGAATTCAAGGGAGACACAACTATAACAATACACGAACCGTCCTGAGTAGATATCTCAAATGATTTCCATGGAGAAAGAAAATCGACTTGTTTATTAAATATGATCCCTTGCAAACATCAACAATGGGTCAGATGAAAATCAGAGACTTTCCATATAAAGCGTTGGCAGGATACAAATTATAAATAACATCTTTTGTCGAATAAATAATATATGTTTAAGTACATTTAAGAGTTTGTTAAGGCCCGTTTACACGGGCAAATTGAATGTCAAAGATATTTTGCTCGTGTAGATGATAAATTTGTGACAAATTTATTGTGACAAATGCATTTAATTTGAACAAAAGCTAGCATGCTAGCTTTTGATCAAATGCATTTGATCAAATAAAATTTGTCAAAATAAAATTTGCTCGTGTGCTTTACGACAGTATTATTTGAAAGCCCTGCACAGTTGTTTTGATGCAGGACCCAAGAACACGGAGATCTGTATGTTTAAATTGCAACTCTTGTCGAAGTTTGAACACAATGTTATCAATCATGTAATTTAACCTGGCGAAATTGAATAAATAAATAAATACTTTCCAAACAAAGAACTTGCTTAGTTGGTTCGGCTTCAGTACAGTATGTTGTTATGAGTCAGAGATGCGCTATTTAGAACAACGAATTCCAAACAAGCAAGAAATGCAATGAAACTCGAGCATCCTCGAGCATCTTCGTTCGAGTTTCCGTAGAAATTATCAACTTTGCTTCTATGGCCTGGCAGCATGTGAATGACAAAAAGAACACAAACGCGCGCATAATTGTCAATTTGACAAGAAGTATTCCTCGAAGTATTCAATACAAATTATACAATGACAAATTGCGATATAAAGTGCTCTCAAATTACACTTTTTGCAATTCAAACCATGCAATACGTCCGCTCCTTGCCAACGAATTTTACTATTGCAAAGTGGAAGCATTGTAATTTAGATTTGTCCATCCCTCCATTGGTAATTTAATATCCTGGGAGCCACGTGACCAGCCGGCACCAGGGTCTTTCCGCAGCTTGGGGCGTGCGAAGGTAAGAGCCTGGGAACGAGGTTGGGTAGAATTGAGATCGGTCTATAATTGATAAATTGACAGCGATCATCAGCCTTAAACACCGGAATCACTTTAGCAATTTGTAATTGATTAGGAACAATACCTGTCGAAATTGATTTATTAAAAATAGTTGAGAGAGATAATGCTATTAAATCAATACAAGCTTTAACTATGGATATGTTAATACCATAAACCCCTTCACTCCTGCTATTTTTCAAGGAGTAAACAATTGTAGTTATTTCGAAAGGGTCAGTAGGAAATAATGAAATACTAGTCTACCATTGTATGATCCAGTTACATAATGACGGTGTTGATTATTTGAACTGGAAAAACCTTTAGATAAGGAATGACCAATATTAACAAAAAAATCATTAAATTTATTTGCAAAATGGATCAGTGTATTCACCACCTGCAGAATCTTTCATACTGGTAGGAATGTTAGTTCTGGATTTACTGCCAATAACAGTTTTAATAGTAGACCAAGTCGCTTTTAAATTAGATTGCTGCATTTCAAGTTTTTCATGATAATATTTTTTCCTAGTTATTTTAACGGAATAGTTGTATTTGTTGCGACATTTTGTATAAACAAGTTTATTGGTAGGCGTAGGATTTTTCAGATAAGTTTTATATAAAGTATTCTTTTTACAACACGAATTGTGCAGTCCAGCTGAGAACCATGGTTTAGAGCCGGCTTTAAAATTGGAATTTCTAACAACTATTGGAAATTATTATTATAAATTGGAAGAAGTATTCCTGAAAAATAGTTATACGAGTGATTAGGCGAAGTATTTAATCTTGTTTCATCCCAATTTATTTCTTGCAATTCAATCTGAAAGTTCAAAATACTAGATTGGGTTACTTTCCTAGTTTTAATATTAACAGGAACCGTATGTTGTTGAGGTTGAAAATTAGTAATCTGAAAAACAGGAAGATGGTCAGTGAGATCACTGTATAACATACCACTCACAATATCATGCTCAAGATTATTCGTAAAAATATTGTCAATTAAGGTGGCAGAGTGGAATGTAATTCTAGTTGGTTTAGAGATAGTGGGATAAAGACTGTTTGCGGAAAGAAGATCCATAAATTCTTTCGTGGGTAGATGAGATTCGTGATTAATCAGATCAATGTTAAAATCTCCCAAAATGTAACATATTTTATTTTCATATCCAATTTTGGTTATTATTGAGGTCAAAAAATCGTTAAATAGTTCAACCTCAACATTAGGAAGTTTATAAATACAGCCTATAATTATGTTTTTATTTTCGGACTGAGTGATTTCCAAGAATATTGATTCGGTTGATTCATTTGAGGCAAGTTCAAGATCTGGTCGAAATTTGTACGTGAATGAAAACTTAATAAAAATGCCAACACCGCCACCTATCCTATGTTTCCTGGATTTTGCAACAAAGTTATACCCAGAGATATGAAAAGAATCACTAAAAGAATCATTAAGCCAAGTTTCTGATAACGCAATGACCGAGTCATTCTGGCAAACATAAGTCATATGAACTTGTATGCTATATAGTTGTTTTCCCACGGTAAGTAAACTAATAGACAATTCCCATTATAGACTAATTTTAAAACTAGGCAAGGAGATGCAAATAAATCACCACAGCTAGAAAGGGCATACTAAAATTAGTACAATTACAAAATTTGGTTGCGAAATGTTGTAAAATGTGGAAAATATAGCCTTGCAAAGTTCGCAAATTTTGTATACTTTTGTATTGCGTGCGACCATTTTCGGCCTAAATGTGGTAGGAATGTGGTAGGAATTTCCGCAAGCAATACAAAAGTATACAAAATTTGCAAATTTTGCAAGGCTATATTTTCCTCATTTTACAACATTTCGCAACCAAACTTTATAATTTTACTAATTTTAGTATGCTCTTTCTAGCTGTGGTGATTTATTTGAGTTTCCTTGCCTAATTTTAAAATTAGTCTATAATGGGAATTGTCTATTAATGCCCACTCTGGGGTAGTAACTCGCCTAAACTTGCCGCGAGATAATTCGAGTTTAAGCGAGTTTAGACGATTTATAAGCAAAAACTGCAACTTTTAAGCAATGCGAGTTGGGCGATTTACGCGATTAAGGCGAGTTATCATCCCTGTGTAGGCCTTATTAGCACATGTTCACGATAGCTGAGAAGATTTATTATATTTTGCCAACCTCATACCAAGGGTTTATGTGCTTGTGGAAGCCCTGTATACGAGTTTGGCCAGCTATGGTTATAGTTACTCGCCAATTAGACGAAATTTGCTAGTGTAAATTTCGATTTGGACATTATTTTTAAAATACCTCGATATTTGGTTCAATTAAATTTCTTATGAATATCTCCTGGCTCAGATCTACTCCCTCCGCTGTCAGCTCGGCCAGAGATAGGAATACATCCCCAATGGTAGTTTTTCTTGAATATCTATCATAACGGCACACACAGAAGTGAACTGTTTGTCGTAGAAGTTCTTCTTCAGCAATTTCAAACTCAATGCCGTTTGGTCCGGTCCCAGGCTCAGCTCTGGCGGGGAGTATCTGGATTTCAACACAGGGCTTGCTCGGAAATAAATTCTGAGTTGGGATGTTTTCGCCTTTAACCAATTTCACCACAAGCACAGATCTGAAGGGAAACATGGATTTTATATGTTTTGTGAGTGATGAGTGATAATCCAGTATAGGTAACAATAAATATATATATATATATATATATACATATATATATATATATATATATATATATATATATATATATATATATATATATATATATATATATATATATATATATATATATATATATATATATCGCTACTCTGAGTTTCACGTCCTTTCTAGACGATCATCAGGCGATTTTGTTCACGATTTTGTTACTGATTACGTGATTGCATCATCATCAACCGTTAAATATATATATATATATATATATATATATATATATATATATATATATATATATATATATATATATATATATATATATATATATATATATATATAGTGCTGATGAGCAGGATGAAAGTAACTCTTATTTATTGTTACCTATATATTGTTAGTATATATATATATATACTTGGCTTGCTTAGGTCTGGTAACTCACCGCAAGATAATGCGAATTTTGGCGATTTGACTTAAGAACAAATTACAAAATTTTAAGGGTTGCAATTTTAGATTGTAATTACAACTATCAGTATAATATCAACTTAGAAATACAACTATCATCTACATCACCCAAGCCAAACATGCCTGTTCCCACACTCTTGCTTCTAATGGAAGAAGCTTTAACAGGTGAACAGAGGGGACTTTCGTCGACGCTGCATGAAAATAGTGCGGGCTCGTGAGCTTTTTCCCGCAAATTTTGCTTTTCGATGTTTGGCTTACAATTTCTAAGGATGTTGAAGTTTACAGCATTGTGATTCACTGGTTTTTGAAAGCATCTGGGGTTTTTTGTTGGAAGTTATAGACTAACTCTTCAACAACCTAATGACTGTTTTTAAAGCAAAGCAATTGAAAGGAAAACTTATATTTTCATACGAAGAACATGAGTGGCCATGAGACCTGTAATTTAATGTGGCACGCGTCTTTGAAGGGTTTACTTGGCTTTAATCGACGTGTAAGGTATAACTTAGGTAAGCCAACATTTCTTTGTAATGCAAGCTACATTTTCATATCTTTAATGTGTGAATATTTTTAATTTTGTAAAAAAATAAGCGCAATATGTTGTTGGAGAAAGTATCGAGTGCTTGATAATAACGCTCAGATCTTGTATACACATATTCGTATTTGATTCAAAATCTACCCTTTATCACCAGTTTTTTTTTATTCTTTTTTGTTAAAGCATACATAATCCTTCACCTGATAACACGATGATCTACTCGATGAAAATTGGGCAAAGGGGCGATCTTTGCAGAGAAACTTGACCGTTCGGTGAAATCGGTAGTTCAAAGATCCTATTTTAATTGTAGTATTTCGTGACAATTGTTGGCCGATTTCTAGTTTATATTGTAGAACGGGTTCCTAGTGAATTAAATTAATTCTCTATCTTCTAACGAGTAGTATAAGTAATAAGCGCGATTCCTTTTTGTTGATGGATGTTGAAATCATTTTAGACTTTTCTTCATATACAACAAGTACACTACCGAGTACTGAATCACTGTTTGCAAAGAAACTAGCCTATATCACCTCCATAATTCCAGCTTATTTTTAAAGTCAAATAGTTTCTCCATGGATAAAAGTAGTTTTTATGGAGTCAAAAATAGGGCAAGTACGAATTTAAAGAAGGTCAATTTGCACTTTTATATCTCACTTCGAAAAGATATACATATAATATTAAAACAGGTATATTTGTACGGCGAAATTAAACTGCTGCAACAAAGTTTTTATTTCTACTTTCACGTTCTTATTCCAAAGCAAACACTTCTAAGTCGGAAATGCCTAAAATTGTGAGCGTAGAAACACTAAAGAAACAAGAAAACGACTTCATAACACGAGTAGTTTTGGCAAATTTGGTGTTTGTTTTTAGAATTCAGTCACGCGATCAACCCGCACTCACGTGCACTCCACGTTTACGTTTCTCGCGCATGCGTAGACGGAAGTCCCCTCTGTTTAGCAGCTGGTGAACAAAAGGTGGAGAAGCAAGTGCTGCTGATTCTTTCATCATACCAAGCTGTTCTATTAAGGTTGCATGTAATTAAGTATTTGTACCACAAGCATTAGATAATACTTTACTCTATAAATGGCATTCCACCGGTTGCAGCGAGGGGTTAGTTGCCTCCGGTTGGAGCGAGAGGGTCTAGGACAAGCGCGGGGGTCACGAATCCAAAACAGAAAGTTCGCCGGTATGATAATACACATCACAGATTCATGGATGGCCGTACGTATGACGTACATCGTCACGCGACAGAAGAGAACGGGTTGACCGACCCAGTGGACAAGCTGGTTGAAATGCAGGTAGTCACAGATGGTTGACAAAAACAGTCTGTTAGTGTGATGACAGAATCGATGGCTATCTCTGACATGATGGTGAATGGCATGCAGTTTCCCTGGATTCCATACTTACCTATCTTCTTCATATTTTATAGAAAAATACAAATATCCATCCGTGTCCTCATCTCCTTCACCAGTTGCATTGCCTCTTTTCTAGTGAAATATTGAAATATAATGAAATTATGTAAAATTTTTATTCTATGTTTGTTGTGAAGTTCCATTCAATTTCTTAATTTGCGGTTGTGTTCAAATTATTATTAAAATTAAAGTATCCACTTCGAAACAGAGCAAGACATATTAATACAAAATTTGATTTAACCACAAAACGTTATCACAATTTATCACAATCCTAATGAAGGAAAACTTCATATGTTCGTAATTTGCATTAAGTTATCAAATTTAAATACAGTGTACGTAGTTTTAGGTCCAGTAATCAAGTATGCAAGGTTGACTAATGCGCATTGTAATATATATTAGAAAAACACATGCACAACGCACATAAATATAGCGAATACTATATATGTAGCACATACAGAGAGAAGCATTATTAGTATTTATTGTAGGAACAACTGCCCTTAGTACTCACGAACTGTTTTATTTGTTTCGATTAAGACATAAAAATGAAAACCATCTCTTATCATGGTTGCTATTATATGTGCACCACTGTATTGTACTAAGTATATACAGTACACAAATATATGCGTAGCTTTTGCATATCATATTACATGTTCGAAAACTTTATCAAGCCAGTTACGGATTGGAAAGGTATATACAAAAAGACACTTTGATGATTTGATCTCGTCAATGTATGATCGCTATTGCCATTACTGGCAAAAATCTCTGGATCCATTCAAAAACTGATGCAAAAGTTCTAGTGAAGATATTCAGTCCCTATTACCCACAAGTGGAAGACATAAAAATCTCAAGTCGGTCAGGAATTATTTCCGAGAGAATGTGTCCACCTTTCTATTTAAGGTCCCATACTGCGGGATAACCCGCTGATTATATAAATTTAGGTCTGTCACAAAGATAACTCATGAACAAAATCGTCCAATATACGCTATATCATACTATTATTTAAAAGCAGCCAGAATGTCCGAATCTAAATTAACTTCCCCTTGAGCGTTGAAGGCTAATGTTTATATAGCGTTTAGAAATCCATCCTGTCCCGATATAATCTATCCTATAATCAATGTTTCATACTGGGTGCTGTAAATATATGAATGAAAATCTAACCTCCTGTGAACAATCCATGACGGTGTTCAATGTTATTGATCAGTAGCTGTATCCTAGTTCTGCCGCTACTACTCAGTCATGAGTAAACAAACGGTTTGACAAACGTCAAGAACGTCAAACATAGATTCGTTATGTGTCATGTCATGCTAGACATGTGCAGAAGTGTTTTGAGAGCTCTACTCAAATGCCTCCAAAACGAAACAACTCTGAAAGCTTGACTATATTGATTCCATAAAAGTTAACGGGAGAACTAATTTCTACCAAAAAATAACTTAGATCAGAGATTGAGGATACAGAATCCAAACTAACGATCTGTTGCAACGAAGTGTAAAGAGATCGAAAACTCAGAAGTACCTATCGAGCTAATATGACAACTTCAAACGCTCACTACCGAAGGGACGAAGAAAGACGTCATTGAGATAAATAACACCATTAAAAACCTAGAAGATTTATATAATGATTTGTATACAATACCATGCAATGTGGCACTGGATAATGTTCAACAGTTTTTACGCCGGGACTACATTGAAATTACAGGTATACCAGCTCGGACATTGGACAACCCAAAACAATTAGCAATCCAAGTGGGCGAAATAATCGGTATTAAGCTAACTGCATGAGGAGCATATCTCAAAAGCCCACCGCCTAATTCCGACAAAGAAAGTAAAGAATCGTATCATAGGCTATGTTTATACGCTACGACTAATCGTGTACGATTCGTATTCTGGCGTATTAAAATAAGTGCTGGCGCCATAATTCATTGCCTTTTCGTTAAAAAGAAATTTCAAATGTAGCCAGCTTACGCGTGTTTACTCAATGACATACGCCAGAAAACGAATCGTACACGACTAATCGCAGCGTCTAAACGTAGCTATAGTGAAGTTTGTTCATAAAGATATCACTCATGAAAAAGGTGTTTAATTAAACAGTCGGCGAAGCAAAAATGATTCGGGAAAAGTCCAAAGATGTGCCGCCAGTTGGCACCGAAGATAGTAAATCCATCCATGTGTCCAACAATATCTTCATTAATGAGTCACTGATACTGAACAGGAGGAAAAAATGAACAGGAAAAAATTGTCAGGGTGAGTATAGGCTTAGATGACTTTAAACGTACTGCATGTATACTGAGTGGAGTCACATTTGGACGGTAAATGGGAAGATCTTACTGAGACAGTCAGATAGTTCTAAGGTTTTTGAATTCGCAACAAATGATCAGTTCGACAAGTTTTTGCAAGATTCTTGAACTGAGAATCGAAACAGCTATATAATTACATAAGCTTAATAATTACATATTTATAAGACGATAATGACTCTCAGTGGGAATTATTGGACCTTGATATTTACAAAAATACTTTCCCTTTCCGAGTTAGATGATAGGCAATATAATCTATTATTATATGGACAATGGTGTTTTACTGGAAACTAAAACACTCGTAGAACTCATACGTCACTACATCCGGGACCTGCAGGTGCGCGTATTTTCCGTACATCACCCCTGCTAGTGACATACGAAGTTCGAAAATTTCCCGCCATTTTCATTGTTATTTTTGAGAATACAAATGGTCTTTGGTTCGTATTTAAAACAGGCCCGTAGCTGAGGGGGGGGGGCCTGGGGGGCATTGCCCCCTCACTCGGTGGGGCAGTGCCCCCCCACTCCGAAATTTGGTATAAAAAATTGAGATAAAGGGCCTGGAAACCAATTGCAATCATGGGACAAATTCTGTAAATTTTGTGGTTAATTTTGTGATGTTTCGAAAATTTTTGTTACGTTTCGGAAAAATTTGAACAGGAAAAAATTTTTTGACCCCTAAAATGGTACACTGACCGAAATTTTTTTGGCGACGGGGGGGGGTGGAGGTCGCCACAATAAATTCCGGAAAAAAATGTTTCTCATCACAAACCCTGTGTTACATTTTTTCTGCAGTGCCCCCCCAGAAATTGAGAGCCAGCTACGGGCTTGATTTAAAACGAACTTAACGTTGGAAATAAAACGAAAACATTTAAAAAAGACATCTTGCATGAGATAAGTAAAATTTATTTTAGTTTTATGTTTGCACTTTAATTTTAAAAAATATCGCTTTTATACTGGTCGCTTTTATACTTTATGTCGTCTTTGTGTGTATTTTTGTCACTCTGAGTAAAGTCCATATAATAAACAGAACATTAAACGATTGCGAGAAGATATGGATTTATGTTATCGTGTCAAAAACAATATCTCACTCGTTCGCTGCGCTCACTCGTGAGATATTGTTTTTGCCACTCGAACATAAAATCCATATCTCTTCGCAACCGTCTAATATCCTCTATTTATTTTATTGTTCGTCTAGAGAATTGGATGCAATAATAATATTGTGGATATTTTCGTACATTAATTATAGTAGTGCACACTTTCCTTTTGGCTCGATCTTTGTGAAGCACGTAGATTTCAGCGGAGAAGTCTCTACTTATAGCTAGTGCCTTCTCGTTGTTGAACAACATTATAAAAGCTGCTCGCTTGATATCTTCGCTGCCCCACGAAAGTTCTCATTCAGAGACAATTGAAGTTTAATAAGGGCCGTTAAATTGTCGGTAAAATCGAGATTAGTATAGCCACTCGATAAGCGTTTTTTCGCTTTTAGGTAAACGTAATTAAGATTAAATAAATATGTTTATGAAAAAAAAAGAAGTAGAAAAATTGCTTCTTCTTCGCATGAATTTCGCAATTTCAAGGACTGATACACCCAGCCGCGAATAAATCCGAATCAGTCCAAAAGCCAATAGGAATTGTCAATATTTCAAATTGACCAATCAAAATGAAAGAAATGGACTCCTTTAAGGTGCAAATGAGTCAGACCACCCTACAGATCAGTCCAGATAAGTCCAAATGGTTTCTCAACCAATCAACTGAGCAGAATAGGCCACCCGCGCGATTCTTGTGTTTTACTGCTGCTTTAGTGAAGCATATTACTTTTTCAAAAGTGATACGTAAACTGGACTATGATATCAACACAAAGGCAATTATTCAAATTTCGACAAAATAAGTTAATCATTTCTTTGCAAAAAATATGGCAGTACGTCACGCGACTGATTGGACGTACTTCAATCTAGAATTGCATTATATGATATTACGCGGACCATCTTTCTGTATTTATTGTTATAAAAATGGCCACATTTACTTATACAATTATACTGAATGCGAACTAGGATAAAGTACCTACAATATACTTTCGGATAATATATCATTGTCGCTGCTTCTAATGGCAGATTTGCGACAAATTATAATCTTATTAGATCAAAAGCAAAAACTAATTATGGAATCCAAACGTTTGCATTCACTTCATCAAGAAATTGGGAAACTACAGATACTAGTGAGTCATGCTCGATACCTTAATTTACGAAGAAATAAAGCAAAAACTAATTATGGAATCCAAACGTTTGCATTCACTTCATCAAGAAATTGGGAAACTACAGATACTAGTGAGTCATGCTCGATACCTTAATTTACGAAGAAATAAAGCAAAAACTAATTATGGAATCCAAACGTTTGCATTCACTTCATCAAGAAATTGGGAAACTACAGATACTAGTGAGTCATGCTCGATACCTTAATTTACGAAGAAATAAAGCAAAAACTAATTATGGAATCCAAACGTTTGCATTCACTTCATCAAGAAATTGGGAAACTACAGATACTAGTGAGTCATGCTCGATACCTTAATTTACGAAGAAATAAAGCAAAAACTAATTATGGAATCCAAACGTTTGCATTCACTTCATCAAGAAATTGGGAAACTACAGATACTAGTGAGTCATGCTCGATACCTTAATTTACGAAGAAATAAAGCAAAAACTAATTATGGAATCCAAACGTTTGCATTCACTTCATCAAGAAATTGGGAAACTACAGATACTAGTGAGTCATGCTCGATACCTTAATTTACGAAGAAATAAAGCAAAAACTAATTATGGAATCCAAACGTTTGCATTCACTTCATCAAGAAATTGGGAAACTACAGATACTAGTGAGTCA